CAAATGTAGCACTTCTAGTCATTATCCATTAGTCATTATTCAAGTAAATATTCGTCATCAATGGACATTATTCCTCTTTCTGGACATTATTAAGTGCTATTTAGGGATTAAAATAGTTTAAGAACTATTTAGGGAAATAACTTAACTTTTAGTGCTATTTAGTGCAAATATTTCCATATATATATATATATATATATATATATATATATATATATATATATATATATATATATATATATATATACATATATACATATATATACATATATATATATATACACACACATATATACATATACATATGTGTGTGTGTGTGTGTGAAACCCCATTGTAGATTGTACCCATACTCACATATTTTTTTTACATAATGTTTTCTTTGCCTAGAAAAAGTTCTCATTTGATTTTATAGAGATAAATTTATAAAATTTTGACCATAGAATTTGATAAGAATGTACTACCTATTACAATAATATCATTTGATTTGTCTTAAAATGTAATTTTTTTTGAATATCTTAATTTTATTAAAAAAATCGATAAAATTCTTTTATACTCCATAAAATTTGTTTATACATTTAAAGTAACAGTATCACGTTGAAGACTGAAAAATCTAATTTGCTTGAAAAAGAGGGGTATTAAATATTTGAAAAGTTAAATTAAATTACAAATTCAATGTTCTCAAAATTTAAACTCAAATTCATCACTGCCAAACATGTTGAGATTATTCAGCATAAGGCTATATATACTTAATTACTTGAACAAATCACGATTTAGCCTATAATCATTTGATGAAATAAAACTATTGTTGCCAAATAATATAATGCAAATACAATTTTTAGGGAATAAGAGTTATTCTTGTTCTTACAGTGGTGCGAGGAATACTAACAACGATATAATGTTACCTGAAACATTAAATACACAAAAATACTGCAAGTTAGTGGCTTAATTGGTTGTACATTATTGTTACACAAATGTTGGGTGTATTATATTGACACTAATTCTGACATCACTATCATATTACACATGAATAATGCTAGGGTCCCAACACATAGGTGCTACCATGGGTACATCCATGCTTCGTACCAAATATTTTTTAAAAAATTCTCTTTTTTTTCACTTTTGTTCCTCATGTTTGATTAATTATGGAATCTTATTTTGAAATAATAACATGACACCTTTAATAGCATAGATAAATTTTAAAAAATAGGTAGTATTAAATATGGCCATTGGATAAAGAGACAAAAAAGACTTAAGTAAAGGTAAAACATTAAAAATACTAAAATTTGCACTGATTAGAACTAAAACATAAGTCTTTTCCCAATGTAGAACTTAAGCTTTTTTGTTCTATAAATAGGACTTAATAATGTCTAGTAGGAAGAATAATGTCCAAGTGATACATTTAGTTGAATAATAACTAATAGATAATGACCAGTGGTCCTACATTGGGAAATAAAAACATATGATCCTATTTTGAGAAAGTCATTATGTTTTAGTCTTATTTAGGTAAATTACTCTAGAAAATATACCAAAATATGAGTTTTATGTATTTATTCTCAAAATATGAGTAAAAAATGTATTTACATTACCAATAATCATCATGTACATTAGCAAAAAGTATTGAAGAAAGTGTTCATATACAGTGTTACATTACCATATTATGAATTTCTATTTAGAAAATAAAAATATAGAACTTTTATTTTTATAGATATTTTCTCTATGTTTTACTTTTATATATGATAGTTTTTCATTTGGACAAATTTTTGAAAATGATAACATTAAAATTAATTAAATTATAACCAAACAACTACTTGGATAACATTATATTTATATTAACTGCAAAAACTGGTAGGAGAAATGAGAGATGATCACAGACATTACGTGTCTGTGTGTCGGTAAAAATTTAGTTATAAATATGATACTCCCTTCATTTTTACAGTTAATTACTGGAGTAATTTTTAATTTATCACCATTATCTAAGTAAGTGACTATTTAGTACGCCCTCCGTATTTACTTTTAATCCGTACTAGACAGAGACATGATAGAAGTTCAAAAACTCCCTATTATTGAAGGGGGCAACGCACACACTTGTGCGTGGAACACGTGTAAAAAGTGCGGCAAAAAAATCCGTTACTTTGCATAGTTTTTTTGGTACATGTTACATTGCATAGTTTAAAATATGTTAAAAGATAAACACTAAATTAAAATTTGTTTAGAAAAAAAATCCTGCCCGCATATAATATTTTTGATGAGTAAAAAAAATGTGAAATTTTTTTTGGGACAAAATAAAAATTAAAAGAAAGTAAGACAATTAGTTTAAAACGGATGAATAATAAGTTTATGTAAGCTAGTCTATTATCTTATTATTGGTTTTCTAAAACAAGAAATCTCGCTAATTATATCAAGTCTAAATAGAAAAATTAACACTATGCAATATAATGTCAGAATTTGGCAAGAGAGGGAGTATTTTAGATTCATGTCTTAAGAATGGTTTTTTTTTTTAAATGAATAACTAAATCCCGATAAAAAGAATGCATATCTAATGATGCATATATGGCATGCAAGATGCATGTATGCCAATATATTCTTCAAATGAATCACATATGGGTAACATCTATTACCGTACACCCAGTGAATGTTTATTTTGTATCATTAGAATGTTAATTTTGAATCGACGTAATGTTTATTTTCAACCGTAGTGTTCATATTGAAGTCTGTTCAAAAATATTTTTTAAATTACAAGTTTGCCATGATGTACTAGGGGAAATATACACCCTAAATATATATGGAACATGATGATGAACATGAATTATGAAAGAAATTTACCTAAGATTCCAAACCCAAAGAGCCATGGGTGGTGAAGATCCAGAACTGCCATTGATGTATTGGGCAGAGATATATATATATATATATATATATTGTAATGAAAATATAGCAAGAATGAAAGGCTGTTGAATTTAGACTTCAGTCTCTCTTCTTCTCTTGCCCTTATCATTAGGAGAAGGCCTTAGCAGTGTGTACTTATAGAGGGAGGGGTAGCTGCGTTCAATCACTCTTATGCCCTCAATTACAAACTCCATTTAATGGGTCACAATCGTATAATAGTACTTGCCAGGGGTACGTGTTACTTTTTTCTTTTTCTTTTTTGTCGCATACACTTCAATTTCACAATGTTTATTGTTAGGGCAATGCTAGGGGTACCCCATGTTGGTGTACCCCTAACTTAATTCTTATTGTTAGGCTTAGCTAGGATATGATTTACTCCCTCCCTCACATAGAAAGTTATAGTAAAATTTGCATTAAATAAGATTAAAACATAAGTCATTTTCCAATATACTCGGTAAGTGTTGACTTGTTCATCCCACATCGGCAATGCAGCCTTATATTGTGCTGCTATTTAATAGCTTGGGTACTTCAACCTCTTGAGTTAACTTTTGGGGTTGAATTGGGCCCAAGTAGACCTGGCAAAACAGAACCGGAACCGATTACCCGAACCGAAATATCCGAAACCAAGACTGGAATGATCCAAAAAATGAAGATCCGATCTTTAACCGAAAACCCGAAATGATCCGAACCGAACCGAAACCGAACTAAATAATTCATATCCGATTTAAATCCGAAACCCATTAGATCCGAAACCGATAATACCCGAAACCGATAAAATCCGAAACCGATTAGATCTGAAACCGATAATATCCGAACTCGATTAGAACTAAAATCGATAAATTCAGAACTATGTTTACCTTTCAATAAACATATTATATTTTTAAATTTTTACTTTTATTTTACCATTTGAACTAGTTACATTACTTGCTCCTTCCCTCATAAAATGAATTATCTTCTTGAAAAAAAGTACAAATTTTTATGCCTTAAATTTATTATATGTAGAAATTAAAGATAAGTTATACATATAAATGATAACGCACAAACAAATAAAATTTCCATAATTTTTAAATAGTGAAGTGTGATATTCTTTTTGGGACGAAAGAAATTTATACTCCCTCCGTCCCATAAAGTGTTACTCATTTTGACTAAAGTTGAAATTAAGAGAGGGATAAATCTGTGTTGACTTTCCAAAAATACCCTTGATGTGATGGATAAAAGTAGGATGTGATGTGTAGATTATTAGGAAAAAGGTATGATGTGATAGGTAGGGTTTGAAAAAGTAAGGGGTAAAAGTGGTTTTTTAATAGAAATGGGTAAGTGATTATGGGACGCAATTTTTTTGAAACGTGTAAATCTTTTTGGGACGGAGGGAGTATATGATAAATTGTATGGAATAATTAGATTTTATCCTAATTTCATCTCATTACAATAAATTTTATTGATTTGAGAGTTAATTTGATTAGTTTCAAACCAATTCACTCAATATTAGTCAATAAAATTAAATGTAAGTGTTAGCATTTTGAAAAGACTCTCTAGCGGCAGCCTTTACTGTTATCATTTTTAAATTTGATCTACACCATTACGTTTAGGTGTAAAATTAATTATATTTGACTCTATTAAATTTAATTTTCTCTATTTTCAACCAAATATACTCAACAATTTACAAATTCTATTCAAATGGAACATATGACTATTTGAATTTATCTTTTATCCTTTCATTTATATACATAAGTATATTAGTAGATGTGAGAAAATTTTTATATTTCAAAACTAAATTTCAAAATAAATTTAATTATATTAAATTTATATCATAATTAAATATATATGTTTTCATAATTTGTAGTCCAAATTTGTAAAATATGACTAAAAAGTCAAAAGGGGAAGATTAGAAAATAATATATATCCAAAATATATTTGATCCAAAACCGAAATATATCCGAACCGAACTAGACCCGAAACCGAAATATATCCGACTCAAATCGTATCCGAACCGAAATCTATCCGAACCGATTTATAACCGAACCGTATCTGAACCGACTCGAAACCGAACCGAACCGAAATCAAATCCGAACCGAAATTTAACCGAACCGAACCGAACCGATTATAACATATAACCGAAAGATATCCGAACCGAAAAAATCCAACCCGAAACCGATCCGTTTGATCCGATTGCCACCTCTAGGCCCAAGTCTATTGTTTCAACATGGTATCAGAGCTAAGCCATTGATGTTGGGACCGCGCCCGCAGTAATCTGCGCCTCGTGTGAGGGGGGCGTGTTGACTTGTTCATCCCACATCGGCAATGCAGCCTTATATTGTGCTGCTATTTAATAGCTTGGGTACCTCAACCTCTTGAGTTAACTTTTGGGGTTGAATTGGGCCCAAGTCTATTGTTTCAACAGTAAGACTTAAAGCTTTTTTATTCCTTAAATAGGACTTAATAATGTCTAGTGGGAGAAATAATGTCCAGTAATGGTAGACATTTAGTTGAATAATGACTAACTGATAATGACCAAAAGTCCTACCTTGGGAAATAAAAACATATGGTCCTATATTGAAAAAGTCATAATGTTTTAGTCCTATTTAGGTAAATTTCTCAAAGTTATATAGTTCTTCTTTCGGTCTGTTTCAAAATACGGATTTATTTTTTAAAGGCTAAAATTCACTATTGATCATCCAAATTTATGAACTGTGCACGATTGATACTTCAAGTTTCAAAAGTCTATAAATAGTCCTTCAAGTATTCATTACCCTCCACATGCAGTGCTTTAAGTTTCAAAAGTTCATAAGTAGTCCTTCAAGTATTCATCAATCCTCAAAAAACAGTCTTTTTTATGATACACGTTAAAAGATTAACGGATTACTACTTCCATCTATATAATACGAAGTATTTGTACCTATACGTAGGTGATTGTTTTTTTACGTAGAGCGAATTAATGAGTTACCACAATTCTAATCAAAGTTTGGTCTTCTTTACTTTACAAATTGGACCCCTTTGAAAGTAAACTCGTCCTCAGAATTTACAAATTGGACCCACTGCGCCAACGCCAGACACCCCTCAAGTCGGAATTTGCTTCTAGCACTAAGGCGGAACTTATATATATAGAGCTAGTTGCATTTGAAACTCATTGCAGGTCGGAAGTTATATATATGGAGCTAGTACTTCGTTTAGCTTTTAATGTCTACCGTAAAAATAACTATATTTGGATGATTGATGAATACTTAAAGAAATATTTATGAACTTTTAGAACTTGAAGAACAGGATTTATAAGTTGTTGAATAATTTGGAGGAGCAAATGGTCGATTTTAGTCTTTTTTAAAATAATTTGTGTGGTTCTTATAACACTACCACCTACGTCATAGTGCAATCGGAGGGCCGCAACATCGTTGGTGTCAACCTCCGTTGACCGATTATCTACCACCACACTGTCAAACTCCTTTTTAGGAGATAAAAACTATACAACTCTTATTTTGATATTTTGATTGCATTTTACTTCTATCTAGAAATATTTTTATTAATAAAATAAGTGTTTTAATTTGACAATTGGTTAATATTTTATTTATTCCAAAATAATTATATAATACTCTCTCCGTCCCTGAAAACCTTTATCCTTTCTTTTTTCATCTGTCCCAAAAAACACTTCTCATTTCTATTAAAAAGTCACTTTTACCCCTTACTTTTTCATACCCTACCTATCACATCATACTTTTTTACTAATAATCTATCCATCAAATCATACTTTTACCCATCATACCAAAATAAACTACCTTTAAATCCCTCTTCAAAATTAAAACTCCCATGTTTTCGGGACGGAGGGAGTATTTGGTTAAATTAACCTAATCATCCCCATCGTCATTCCATTGGTCTCCTCCATCTTCTTCGCATAATCGGCGTTGCTCGTCCACCGGCCTGTATAACGGATGACGCCAAAAGTACTCTATTTCCCAACGTCTGGAGCTAAAATTTCACCATTTTTTGGCTTTGGTGTGTGATGGAATAAATCAAAATGGATCTCTTAGCTGTCTGCGCTTCTTTAATTAATGAAGTAGCAGTTACTCAAGCAATGCAACTTTCGACGTTGAGCCGGAGGTCTCTTTGGAAATAGCCTCTCTACTTTCGAGTAGGGGTAAGGTCTGCGTACACACACCCTCCCCAGACCCTACTCTTGTGAGATTTAACTGGGTTGTTGTTGTTGTTGTTTCCTAATGTTTGGGATTAAGTGGGCGTTTCGTCTATATTTATATTTATAAGTTCGTCAGAAGTATTTATAAAAAAAATTTAATTTATAAGTCAGCTGATAAAGCATGGACATGACATAAATAAAAGGAAGAGTGAATAATAATACTCCATCCAAGTATATTTATCTACTTTAAACTTTAATTAATCTTAATTTATATTACACATTCGTATAATGAAATAATATTTTGAAAATTTTCAAAGATAAATGTAATAAAATAAAAAAGTATACCTGGATAAGAGTAAAAAAGTATGAAAATATCAATATAAATCGAAATCTTAAGTTTTATAAAACCAAAATAGAAGTATAATGACACTGAAGTGTAAGAGTACGCGTTGACACTGTGATGTAAAAAAGATGACAGGGTAATATGTGAGTGTGATTAGTCAACGCCAGCAATTCGCGGTGACACTCAGGTGGCTAGCAGCAACAGATGACAATGTAGCGGTGGTAGCGTTGCAGTTACAATGTGACAATGTGGTGAGTGCATGTGACAGTGTAACAATGACAGCGTGAACTCCTATTTTGGTCTTAAAAAACGTCTGACTCCTATTTTGGATATTTATTTGGGAATAAGTGTCCCTATGTCTTACAAGGAACTAAAGAGTTGAACGACGGGTAGTCTCATTTGGTTCTTTATTTTGTGAAAGACTAGACCGGTCCCTGAACAGATAGTCTTTTCCAAAAGACTAGACCGAGATCGAACTATGACTAAAAATATACTCTCTCCGTCCCAAAAAGATTTACACCTTTCAAAAAAATT